CCATGTTTCATGCTCTCGCCCCGAATGACCTTTTGACCACAGGATTACAACACTGATCTTAAAGTGTGTCAAAGCAGCCACGTCATTGATTCCTACCGTTCGGAAAAGGATGTGGTTGTCCCGAACGTTTTCATCGGCCCACACCGCTACCTTATCCATTCTCTACTCACCCATCGGACAAATTGACAGACCTCTACTCCCATCCCCTCTCCTTGCTACAACGCACAGAGGAAGAGCACCATGCGCCGGCGATGAGGCGGCCATGCCATACTTGAGGCGGCAGCGGCGGACACGAGGTGGGCAGCACGGGGAGGAGCTCCACTGTATCCAACATACGAATGTTGCGTGGCTGAGATGAGGCGGACTGATGTGTCCTTGCCGGTGTCGCGCCTCCCAAACTCGCCCGGAGTTGAGCCTCGGCCTGGGCTCGGCAGCATCTTCCAGGCGCCTCCCATCAGCCGACGACGGAGGGGAGGTCGGGGGGGGGGGGCACCTGGAGGTCGTCAGTATCTACATCGTCGTCGTCCACGATGGCGACGACCCAGCGTCGCCTCAGTTGCGCCGTCCTCCACGCAAGGAGGTCCATACCGACCAGCCGCCGGCGCGCTCCATGATGCAGGCTTCGGCAAGCTCGAACGTCTTGCCGACCTGGGCGCCCCCTTCAGCGGCGCCAGAATCCCCTTCAGCCCGGCGGCGCTGGCCTCCACTCCAGCAGCGACCGTTGTCGGTGTCAAAACCGGCGGATCTCGGGTAGGGGGTCCCGAACTGTGCGTCTAGGTCGATGGTAACAGGAGACAGGGGACACAATGTTTACCCAGGTTCGGACCCTCTTTATGGAGGTAATACCCTACGTCCTGCTTGATTGATATTGATGAATACGAGTATTACAAGAGTTGATCTACCTCGAGATCGTAATGGCTAAACCCTAGAGGTCTAACTTGTATGGCTATGGTAAAGAATATCTCTCCCCCGGACTAAGTCCTCCGGTTTATATAGACGCCGGGAGGACCTAGAGTTACAAAAGGTCGGTTACAAAGAAAGGAATCTACATATTTGGTCGCCAAACTTGCCCTCCACGTCAAGGAGAGTCCCATCCGAACATGGGTGCAGTCTTCGGTCTTCGTATCTTCACAGCCCATCAGTCCGGCCCATAGATCTTAGGTTCTCTGTTTAGCAATAAATAAACAATTATTCCAACCAAACGAGCAAACGAGCCAAGTAAGACATCAAAGCAAATGGAAATACGAACAGAAGAAGGGCGAATAAAACGGCAAGGGTGAAGTGGGGGAGAGGAAAACGAGAGGCAAATGACAAATAATGTAATGCGAGGGATACGAGTTTGTGATGGGTACTTGGTATGTCTTGACTTGTGCGTAGACTCCGGCAACGGTGCCAGAAATGGCTCGTTGTTAGGAGTCAAATCTTGACTTGACTTGGCGCGAATCTCCCTGGCAACGGCGTCAGAAATCCTTCTTGCTACCTCTTGAGCACTGCGTTGGTTTTCCCTTGAAGAGGAAAGGGTGATGCAGTAAAGTACTGTAAGTATTTCCCTCCGTTTTTGAGAACCAAGGTATCAATCCAGTAGGAGATCACGCTCGAGTCCCACGCACCTACACAAAAAAATAAGAACCTCGCAACCTACGCGATAAAGGGGTTGTCAATCCCTTCACGGTCACTTACGAGAGTGAGATCTGATAGATATGATAAGATAATATTTTTAGTATTTTTATGATAAAGAGAAATAAAGATGCAAAGTAAAATAAACGGCAATAGAAATAATTAAGTATTGGAAGATTAATATGATGGAAGATAGACCCCGGGGCCATAGGTTTCACTAGTGGCTTCTCTCAAGAGCATAAGTATTACGGTGGGTAAACGAATTACTGTCGAGCAATTGATAGAAAAGCGAATAATTATGAGAATATCTAGGTATGATCATGTATATAGGCATCACGTCCGTGACAAGTAGACCGAAATGATTCTGCATCTACTACTATTATTCCACACATCGACCGTTATCCAGCATGCATCTAGAGTATTAAGTTCATAAGAACAGAGTAATGCTTTAAGTAAGATGACATGATGTAGAGGGATAAACTCATGCAATATGATATAAACCTCCATCTTTTTATCTTCGATGGCAACAATACAATACGTGTTGGTTCCTTTTCTGTCATTGGGATCGAGCATCGTAAGATTGAACCCAAAGCTAAGCACTCCTCACATTGCAAGAAAGATCAATCTTAGGCCAAACCAAACTGATAATTTGAAGAGACTTGCAAAGATAAACCAATCATACATAAAAGAATTCAGAGGAGATTCAAATATTGTTCATAGATAAACTTGATCATAAACCCACAGTTCATCGGATCTCGACAAACACACCGCAAAAGAAGATTACATCGAATAGATCTCCAAGAGAATCGAGGAGAACTTTGTATTGAGATCCAAAGAGAGAGAAGAAGTCATCTAACTAATAACTATGGACCCGTAGGTCTGAAATAAACTACTCACACATCACCGGAGAGGCCATGGAGTTGATGTAGAGACCCTCCGTGATCAATGCCCCCTCCGGTGGAGCTCCGGAAAAGGCTCAAGATGGAATCTCTCAGGTACAGAAGGTTGCGGCGGTGGAA